GGAGGGGAGGGGAGGGGACACCGTCCTGGCCTTCGGCGCAGCGCCCCTTGGGCGACCACGCTCTCGGAGCCCAGCCTACCTAGAGGTGGTGCGGGGAGGGCGGTGCAGCGAGTCAGGGCACCCCAGTTTACCTGACCTGTTTCCAGACAGACCCCCCCAGACCAGCTTGAGATGGCCGCTGGAGGTTAAATCTTGAGAAGGCGGTAACCAGTTGGTCTCCCATTACGATTCTCTAGCGAGGGGATGCTCCATTTCTGTTTACATAACTAACTACGCTGGATAATTGCAGGGTGCTCTTCTACTGGTTGACCTTATCAGCATACGAATTAGACATTACGATTTCTGGATTCTGATACTGTTCTGTAGGTTTTCCTACTTATGACGTCTATTTACAAAATAGTTGAGCGTCAGAAGTTAAGCATCACAAGCACTGGGTTCTGATCATGAGAATGACAGGCATTCACTGAACACCTACTATGGGCCAAACACCATACTAAGCCTGCTTCTCAAATGATCTTTTTCCGTTTTCAGAGTAGCCCTTTGAGATTGGTGCTTGCATTGCTCCCATCTGCAGAGGGTTATGCAGGCTTAGAAAGCTGGGGCTCGCCTAGGGTGAAGGACCCCCCACCCCCTGTGGCTCCAGCCCCAAGCTTATTCTCTGTGCTGGCATGTTCGGTGAGTGCCCAGTTTCTACCTTGGGATGGGGGATTGACTTCCATGGGATCAAATTTTAGCTTTATTGCCAGAAACTGTCCAAGGGCGTTCATTTTTTTTTTTTAATAGAAGAGAAAAATTTTGGAAATTTTAAGGCATTTACTGAATTTGAGTAGCTTCAGTATAGTGGATACAATGATGAAGTAAAATTATGTAGGTTGATACCAGTTAAAATTCAGAATCTGTTGATTTAAAAGTGGATATGCTTTGTTTTGTAAATATCTATTGAGTACCAAGGAAGAGCCCAGCTGGAGCTGTGTGGGTGGGCATGTGAAGGGAACAGGACAGCTGGCTAAGTGGAGCATCTTTGATTTTAAGTGCATTCCATCTAATTTTAGCAGACTCTGGCATTTCTACAGTAGACAAACACTTTTACTTCTCTCTAAACTTCATGCTTTTTAAAAATATTTATACGTTTTTATTGATTTTTAGAGAGAATGGAAGGGATATAGAGATAGAAACATCAGTGGGAGAGGAACATCATCCATTGGCTGCCTCCTGCACACCGCCTACTGGAGATCGAGCCTGCAACCCAGGCATGTGCCCTGACTGGGAATTGAACCATGACCTTCTGGTTCATAGGTTGATGCTGAGTCATGCAAGCCAAGCAATTTCGTTTACTTTTATTTTGTTATTCTTGTTTTTTAAAATATTTTAAAAATATTTTTTAATTGATTTCAGAGAGGAAGGGAGAGGGAGAGAAAGAGAGAAACATCAATGATGAGAGAGAATCACTGATCGGCTGCCTCCTGCATGCCCTTTACTGAGGATGGAGCCCACAACCTGGGCGTGTGCTCTTGACCAGAATTGAACCTGGGACCTTCAGTTCTCAGGCCAACAAACACTCTATCCACTAAGTCAAACTGGCTAGGGCTAAAATATTTTTATTGATTTTAGAGAGGAAGGGAGAGAGAGATAGAAACCTCAATGATGAGAGAATTATCAATCGGCTGCCTCCTACACACCCCACACGGGATCAAGCCCGCAACCTGGGCGTGTGCCCGGACCTGGAATTGAACCATGACCTCCTAGTTCATAGGTTGACACTCAACTACTGAGCCATGCAGGTCGGGCTCTTTTACTCTTAAAGGTGTAAGACACCAAACAAAGGCTGTTTCTTCACAGTGTGGTGTTCAAAGGGAAGATGTTCTCAGTGCTGATGGTATAAAAGTACTAAATGACAATCATGTGGTCAGAGTAGGAAAGAACTAAAGTAGATCTCCTTTTCCTTGTGTGATATCTTGTAAACTTCAGTGCAGACAGGAAGATGCACTTAATAAGAAAAAATAGTGGCTGCAGAAATTTGAACCTGATCTGGGTGTAGCGGAGGAGTGTGGAGGCATGCTATGGGTCCTTGCTGAGGGGTGAGGTCCAGTGTGAACGAAGGGCATTTCTGTGCTGCCGACTCCCTGCAGGGCTAGACAACTGACATGTGCTCCTTGTATGTAATTGTAGCATGGGCTCTGGCAGGTCAGTTGCTTGGAAAGGGGTGCTTGTGTTTACAGCCGTATTGTGTTCTTTTCCTCTAAAAATGGCAGATCTGTTAGATTGGGCTGCCTTACAGCAAAGTGCTCTGCTTTGGAGATAGTGTTCTCGCAGGGGAAGCAGAGGAAGGGTATGGCTGCCTTGCCCCAGCACTTCCAGGCCCTGAAGCAGCATCTGGGGTGGTCTGGGGTGTGGCTGCCCTCAGGCAGATGGACCAAACCATCTTCACAAAACCTTTCAGAGAAGAGGCATTGTTAGTGTCCAGTCCTCCCCCGCCGCCTGTCCTTTCACCCTTTCTTTCTCCTCTGTCCCGTGGACTTCTCCATAACTTCTTACTTGGCACTTTCTGGCCTTGTTTTGTCTCTGGCAGATATCAACCTGAATTCTCCTAACAAAGGTCTGTTGTCCGACTCCATGACGGATGTCCCTGTTGACACGGCAGTGGCTGCCCAGACTCCTGCTGTCGAGGGTCTGACGGAAGCTGAGGAGGAGGAGTTGAGGGCCGAGCTCATGAAGGTTCTGTGTCTTGGCTGGCTGGCCTGTGGTACCATGAGTCGAGGCCCTCTTAGGCTAATGAGGGCAGAGTGCTGGCTGTGCCCTGGAGAAATGGGGTTATCCTGAGGCCCCACAGACACTGCTCTTTGGGGCCCCGGCTTGTATGTACCCAGCCCCTCATGGGTGCTCCAGGGGGAGAATGTCCACACAGGGGCAGCTGCTCTGAGCACACCACCCACGGGGAGTTTCTCTGTTGGAGTTAACACCTGACATTTTCAAGACCCCACCATCTTATTGCCCCTGGATCTTAATTTCTCTTTCAAAAACACCTTTTTGTAAAAAGTACTTAATGTGACCTTTTTAAAGTGAGAGTCCCTTAAGAGAAAATCGGAGTTAAGAACAGAAGCCTCTGAGTTTAATTTTTATACCAACTAACAAGAGGGTTTCTTTCCACTGTGTGGTGCAGAGCCTGGCAGTGTGGCTCAGTGGATATTCCAGAGTCTGGGGAGATGGTCTTGTTAATATCTGACCGTATTTGTCACAGGCCTCTGCTATGTCTCCAGAGACAAGCCCCATCTTAATACATCCCAGGCCCAGTCCTAGGTCTGAACAGAGCTAGTTGTACAGACCAATCTCGGCCCCAGGACCAGGTTTCAGATCACAGGAAAGCATGTGGCTGTTTCTGAATTGAACAGCGATGAAGAGAGAAGCAGTAAGAAGTCCAAGGACATGTCTGCTTTGTATTTTACTTCAAATATGTTGGCATTGAGACTAAAGCCACCAGGTCTTGTTCAGAGTTGGATCGCAGAGTGGAGTCACTCTTGTGTCACTTAAAACCTTCAACTTGCATGTTCCCAGGACAACGTGACCATATGCCCTAGAGCCCTGTCAGTCATTACACCAGGAGTGGAGTCTTCTGGTCACTGGTTGTACCTGACTGAGTGACTGGTAATCGTTTGGCCTTAGATGATACTGTGTTTGTAAATTATTTCTTGTTTCAACTATTTTCTAAAGCAGAATATAGGGATATTCAGGGCTCTACACTGTTTTTAGTGCCTTAATCCAAACAAGCACTTTTTAAAGAAAGGGGCTTTTTTAGAATAGCTGTTCATATAGGAGCTGGAAGTGCTGAGAACTCTAGTAAGGTTCTAATGGATGCTTCCTTCTCGTGTCACTTATTCTTTCTTTTTTTAGAAAATACTTTTATTGAATGTTTAGAGAGAGGAAGGGAGAGTGAGAGACAAAGAGAAACATCGATGTGAGAGCACAACATTGATCGGCTGCCTCCTGCATGACCCCCACTGGGGATCAAGCCCACAATCTGGGCATGTGCCCTGACTGGGAATTGAACCAGCAGCCTCTCAGTGGATGGGACGACGCCCAACCGAGCCACACTGGCCAGGGCTTTTTTTTTTTTAAGACCTGAGGAGGTTCAGGGTTCTCTGTTACTCAACTCAAATTACCTTAAACACAAAGGCGAATTTACTTTTGGCTTGTGTAACTGGCTTTTGCCAAAGCCTGGAGCTGACCTCAGGAGCACAGATATTGTGATGGGGCCGGTTCATGTCACCTGGGTTTCTGGCCATCTGTCTGCTCTGCTTCCTTCCTGCTGCATAAGGAACCCCCCCCCCCCCCCCCCCCCCCCCCCCCCCCCCGCCCCCGTAGATGGGGCTGGCTGCCAGATGTTCCAGCTTCTGCTGTCCAAGCCCAGAGGCAAGGCCCAGAGGAAAGAGGGCCTCCCTCCTCTGACCCTGTGCCCAGCCCGGGGCAGAGCTCTGGAAGGCCTTGCTCAGTCTCCCCCCGGTCAGCATGGTGATCGGCAGCCCCAGCAGAGCCACTCGGCTTGGGGGTGAGACAGTTCTGCAGAAGAAGTTGTGTTGGTACCAGATAAAAACAGACGTCTGCTATCGACGCTGTTTCTGAGATGTATGTTTCTGTAAGGGGACAGTTCTTAGATAACTGAGGAACCTCACATCGCATTGTATGAGGATGTCAGTCACTTCCTGTGGTACTATAGCTAATCATGTCAACTTCGTGCTTATGCAGGTAGAAGAGGAAATTGTCACCCTGCGCCAGGTCCTGGCGGCCAAGGAGAGGCGCTGCGGAGAGCTGAGGAGGAAGCTGGGCCCCTCTGCTTCGGAGGGCCTGAGGCAGAGCCTGTCCAGGAGCTGGCGCGACGTGCAGGTCTCGAGCGCGTAGGTGCCTGCTCTGCGGCAGGGCGCCCTGGTGGTTGGAGAGCGAGCACAGCGTGGTGCCTCTGTCCTGTCGACGGGGTGTTAGTTCTTGAGGACGAGGTGCCTCCCAGGAATGGGGACCACATGTGCCTGTTTGGAAGCAGCCAGCCAGGGGCCTTGCCACCTTGACCTAGCAATTGTCCTCCCACTTCCGCTCAGTCAGATGTTTTGTAAAAGGTGGATGGACACACAGCTGGTTGTCCAAGTGGAAATCGACAAGAATATGTTTCGGGTCCAAATTTGAGAGCACACTAATGAGGTCCTTGATGAAACTGACTTTGCTGTGGTCCCCAGGGCTGAGCGTCTGCTCGAGTGGACGTGACTCCTCATGAAGGGTGTGGTCACAAACTTTCCGCTCTGACCTTGGGCAGGGCAGCTACGTGGCTCCTCTGAAATGTCTCCTCCAAGGTGGGGGTGAGGAGTGTCTCCCACTGTCTGAAAGGCCTGTCCCCACAGGCAGAGTCACTTCATAAATCTCATCTGGAAAAACCCCGTTTCTGTCTTAGGAAAGCATAGCTTCTGAACCTCAAAGGGTGACTGCCACAAGTGTTTTGGGGCCACAGGCTGCCCTTCCTGCCCTCACAGCAGTGTTCCCCAAGAGCCATCGTAACATTGAATGACCCTCGGCCTGATGGGAAAGAACTGGTTTGTTCTGTCGCCTCCCCTGCCCCCACCGGGGCGGCACAGCAGGGTGCTAAGCAGAAGCGGCCCTGTCCTCTGGTCGCAGACGTTCTGTGCTCCTGCCAGTCAGTTCTCCATTGGCCCCGGAATTTCACTTGCAGTTTGAAACCTGAGTTGAAAGTTTTTCTAAACAATTCACCATAGACTTTCTGTTTTTAGCTATGTGAAAACTTCTGAGAAACTTGGAGAGTGGAATGAGAGAATGACCCAGTCGGACCTGTGAGTGCCTTTGCCGTCAGCACCTCCCTCCCCTCTCCTCCCAACACACCTTTCAGGGGCAAGCAGGCTGTGTGCGCTGGGCACACACCTAGTTGTGTTTCCTGGCTATTTCGTATCGTTTTTCCCCTCTTAAACACGAATGGAACGACCCTCACTCTCGTGGCCACCAGACCCCACAGAACTCCTCTGCCTGCACCGTCCCTTGAAGAAGAGCCCCGGGCTGGCGGCCGCCTCTCCCTCAGAGACCCCTCAGCGTTCCGGTGGGCGCGTGGCCGGGTGCCGTCTGCACCACGTGGATGGGGGCTCTTTGTTTTTGTCCGTCCTTCTGCAGACCTGGCTCCAGCTGCTGGGGTCTGTGGAGCTTCCCTAGTACGTAGGTGTTCTTCAAGTCAGGGTTGGTGTAGGCACCAAGCTGTCAGCCACACAGAACGAACAGTGCAGAATACAGAGCAGAGCTCTGGTTGAGAACCACGGTGATGTTCTAGCTGAGATCCTTCAACGAGATAGTAGAACTTCATCAGATCATAGCTCTTTAAGCCAAGTGGGCAGTGTTTAGGAATGGTCGTTCTCTGATATTCTGTCTTGTTCAGAAGGAAGTACTGTCATGGTTGCCAGCAGAAAGCCCGTTCGTGTTGGGCTGAAAGAAAACAGTTGCTACCCAGCCTCTCCTGGGGTACCTGGGACCCCAGGTTGGGTAGCTACACATGGAGCCTCTGCAGCCTGGTGTGCTCAGGGGACTCTGACTGTGCCTGTTTTCTGCTGTTTGTGCAGTTTGGTAGACAGCTGGTTGTGGAGGTAGGTGTTGTAGCAGCGTGGCAGTATTCGGTGATTCAGTGGCTGTCGCCAGACCATTCGCAATGCAGACTTTATCAGGAAATAGCCTTTGGAGACTTCGGTGCTGCTCTGTAAAACCAGCCAACACACTGTTTCCAATAACTACAACTCTCACTCCCGGGAGAGGAGCCCGTGGCTCTGGGTGTGGACATGTGTGGCCAGCAGCATGGCCTTTTCATGCATTTCACCAGGCAGTGGCCGTGCCCCTGGAGTTTCGCACTAGTTCTGCTGGGAAAGTTGTCAGATGCTTCCAGGCTGAAGGCATTTCTGCAGTGACTGCCCAGGAGGAAGGCCACAAGGCCCGGGGTGGGGTGGCCGTCTCTGGGGGAAGGAGCCCAGGGGTGCTTGGCCAGAGCCCCCAGGGTGTCATTGCGAGACAGCTGGCCCAGTGTCTGAGGGCAAGCGCATTGGGGTGAGCCCGTCTCCCCAACTGTGGGTCTGCAAGTCCTGCTCATGGAACCGTGCTGGAAGGAAGCAGTTTAGGTGCTACTGATCTTCTGTCAGCCAACTCCCCCGCCCACCCCCCTGCTTTTCCCCCTTTTTTTAACATTTTTATTGATTTCAGAGAGGAAGAGAGAGGGAGAGATAGAAACATCAATGATAAGAGAGAATCATTAATTGGCTGCCTCCTGCACCCATGTGCCCTGACTGGGAATTGAACCGTGATCTCCTGAGCCATGCCTGCCGGGCCCTTCTATAAAAATATTTTTTTTTATTGACTTCAGAGAGGAAGGAAGAGAGAGAGAGAGAAACATCATTGATGAGAGAGAATCATTGATCGGCTGCCTTCTGCATGCCCCACACTGGGGATCGAGCCTGCAACCCAGGAATATGCCCCGACCAGGAATCAAACCGTGACCTCCTGGTTCATAGGTCGACTCTCAACCACTGAGTCGAGCCGGCTGGGCCATTGGATTCTTCTTATACGTAGATCTTAGCTGACACCGTACTGAGAGGGCACCAGGTGAATTCCGTAGTCACAAGTTAACTCAGTATTGTCACTATATTGAGTTTTTTGGTTGCAGGTGACAGAAAGCACAGCTAAAGGCTGTCAGTCTAAGGGTGGGGAGGTCTTGCCTGTCGAGAAGCCCCTGTCCAGGCCCACCAACCAGGGCTCCCGCGGAGCGCTGGGGACCTTCCATTCTCCCCCAGTGGCTTTGTTCTCAGCTCCTCCTCTTTGGTGTGAGGGGCTCCCAGCAACAAGGCGGCCCACTGTGGGTCTCCTCAGACTCTTGCTGTGGCCAGGAGCGGGGATCTCTGGCCAGCCAGACCTGAACTACCTGCCCACCCTTGTTGGGGGTGGGGTAGCCTCCAAGGGAAGGTGCCCCTAGCAGGTGCCCCAGAGGAGGCTGGTATTTTTCGGGACTCTACACCATGTTTTCCTAAAAGGTGGAAGTGATTCCCAAAGTGGTGCTAGCCAGGCTGCATAGACTAGCGTGCAAACATGGTGGGGGCTGACTTCCCTGGATACAGACTCTGGCTCTGCCCCCAGGCCTGTCCCATTGGTCTCTGATGGGATGGTGCCCTTGGAGTCGCCCACAGGATGCCCTCTTCGTCACCAAGGACTCAAGGCGCAGGCCCACGCTTTTTTCTTGGGCTTCACTTTCCCAGCTTGGCCTCATGAGCACAAATAGAGATTCTGTAAGGCTCTTTATTTTTTACTAGAGGCCCAGTACATGAATTCGTGCACTGGTGAGGTCCCTCGGTGTGGCCTGCAGAGATCGGGCTCCAGCTCGCGCCCCCAGCCTCGCAGCCCCGCAGCCATTCCTGGCACCCCGCTTTGGCCTGGCGCTGCCCCCTCACCTGCCCCACCGTCCCGCTGTGGTCCTGCTCTTGTCAGGACCCATAGGGCCAGCAGCGCCTCCACTGCCAACACCACGTCGCCGATGCTCGCCATGTTCCGTGCTGCCCCCCTGGTGGTTAGTGCACGTCATAGCAAGCCGTCAAATGACTGCCCGAGGGGACAGTTTGCACATTAGGCTTTTATTATATAGGATTTTTTATTTTTTTAAAATATTTTTATTGATTTCAGAGAGGAAGGGAGAGGGTGAGAAAGAGAGAAACATCAAAGATGGGAAAGAATCATGGGTTGACTGCCTCCTGCACGCCCCACACTGGGGATTGAGCCTGCAACCTGGGCATGTGCTCTGAGCAGAGTTGAACCCGGTACCCTTCAGTCCACAGGCTCTATCCATTGAGCCAAACCATCCAGGCCAGGCTCTTCTTTAAATCCCCTGCTTGAGACTGTTTGCTTCAGCACAGCCCAGGGTGGTGACATTGTCCTCCGCATTTGCTGTTCCGGGAAAGGCTGGGCTGAGGCTGTCTTCTGAATTTGTAAAGAAGTTGTGTGTCCTTCGTCCCCTTGCACCTGGGCTTTTCTGAGTGCCCGTGGTTCTGGTGCAGAAGTCTGTTTCTTGCAGATAATCTATTAACTCTTTTGAAATGAAAGCACTTCCTTAGGTGAGCCTTGGGTTGGGGGTGCTTGGGCAGGCACTATGAGTTGTGCCCCAAAGAAGCTCTCGAGCCATTCCTCCACCGGCCGTGCTGTGGGGGGTTGCTCTCCCGCCTGCCATAAGTGCTTCTTCGCCTTGGTTGCCAGTCTTGCTGAACCCTGAGGCAGGTCTTGGTGTGGGTGGCAGCTCCAGGCAAAGATGCTGTCAGGTTCGAGGGTGGTGGCTGCCCCTTGTGTTTGGTTGGGTAACTGTGCTTCTTCCTCCAGCTACAAGAGGACTCAGGAGACTCTCTCTCAGGCGGGACAGAAGACTTCAGCTGCCCTGTCCACTGTGGGCTCTGCCATCAGCAGGAAGCTCGGGGACATGAGGTAAGAGACCCCTCTGCCCCAGTCTCTCCACCCTGAGGCCTGGACTGGTCAGCTGAGGTTTTTGGGATTTTAGATCTCTTAGAGGTTCTGTGGGGAGCCTGCTGAGCCCCAGGGCTCAGGTGCACATACCTCAGCGGCCGCTCAGCTACCACAGGTGTGGCCACGCCAGCCCCCAACCAGTCGGTTCATGGACCTTCGCTTGCAGCGTGTGTCTGCTCCCGTTGGCTGCCTCTTTGCCGTTTTGTATTGCTCACGGGAGGTGGTCACTGTGCCGTTGGCTAACTTCTGATGCTTGGGGTCGGGTGAAGGCTGGTGCTTCTCTTTAAAGTTCCATGGAGAGAGAATGAGTACAGCCTAGAGGTCAGCACCTGGGTGGGCGCCAGGACATGTCCAGGACAAGCTCGGTGTCTCCTCAGAGTGTGTGCCCAGGTCTCAGATGGTGTGGCCACAGGCCAGGGCCCCAACAGAATGTTCTCTTGAGGCTGACCAGACCCTCATAGCCACCAAAGGTGCTTCTTGTATAGGACCTGGGGGCCAGGGAGTGCAGAGTGGCTCGGGCACTTGGTGACTACCGGGGAGCACCCGCCCCCAGCCTGCTGGCTGTTCCCTCTGCCTCCTGATCTGGCCCTAGGAGCCAGAGGCCAGGGTGTGAATTCTGGCTCGACTGCCTCTGCTGTGCCCTTGACAAGGCCTCTCACTAGGAGTTATTAGGACAAGATACACATCACTGAATCATGAGGGGAAGTGGGTGTCATCGCCAGTGCTCTTGGTCTGACCCCACACTTGGGACCGGGCCCCTCACTTTTTCATTTCAGGGAATGCCTCCCTGTAGCCCCCATCCCATCCTGAGAGAATCACTGGGTGTTGTTGCCCATGGGTTTGGTGTATTGAGTGTGGCGTTGGCGGTCCACCACACTCTGACCCTCACCTCTACCTGCTTGGGTTAGCCATTTCCCCGGCTCACAGGCCTGGCAGTTGCCAGTTAGCAAGAGGTGAAGACAGATTCTAATAACCCTGGGACCCCCCCAGCCCAGCAGAGGACAGCTTATGCCAGAGCCCTGCTCACTTTTCTTGTTTGTTTTTGTTAGTCCTCACCCCAGGATGTTTTTTCCCCATTGGTTTTTAGAGAGAGTGGGAGGGAGAGAAAGAGAGAAACATTGATGTGAAAGAGACACATTGATTGGTTGCCTCCCACACACACCCCAACTGCAGGGCCGGGGATTGAACCTGCAACCCAGGTATGTGCCTTTGATCAGGAATCAAACCTGCAACCCTTGGGCATCAGGCTGACATTCTATCCACTGAGCCACACCAGCCAGAGCCCTGCTCACCTTTTATTTCTGTTTGTTTGATATAATAGCCCTTCCCCAACTTAATTTTGCAAAATGTCAAACTTCTGGAGAAGCTAAATAACTGTAGGCAGTCTGTGTGTTTCTCCTGTGCCTGAGGACTGCGCCTTCCCATGCTGGGGTTCTGGCTGCTTCCTAGGTAGTGGGGCTCCCTGTGGGATGATGCCCTATAATGCATGCCTTGCCCACCGTGGCTGTGATTTGGGCTCAGGAGGACTCCCCCGCTTCGGCTCCGCTGTCAGCAAGGAGGGTCTGTGGTGATTGCTCCCATAGGCTTCACACTGAGCTGCTAGTACTTGACTGGGTATGTTTCTGTAGGGAGACCCGTTTGAGATGAGGTGGGACGCCGGCACTGCTGCATTCTGGGATGCCTGCTTTGGCCACCTGAGCCGTGCTGTGGTGAGCCCGGTGATGGAATGTTCATGCCCCTGGTGGTCTGGCCGCACCCCCAGGGCCTGCCGAGGGGCGGGCCCTCCCAGCCCTGGAAAGAGCGGCGGGGGCAGGTCTGTCCGTTCTTTCCTCGCCTGCGGGTGTGGTCACAGCATTGAGGGAGAGTAGGCTCTGCTGCCTGCGTGCGCCTCCGCTGGCTTGTGCTCCTCTCCTCTCCCTGTGAGTGTGTTCAGGGCGTCCTGGGGGAGCATCGGTGGGGAGGGCAGGGCTGCTTCCATGGACAGTGCTTTGTCTGCTCAGAGAACGGGGATTTGCCGCTAACTTGTGGCATGGCCAGCAGTGAGCAGGTTTCTTGTCTCAGTGACACCGGATGGCTCTGCGCGTGGCCTCCTTCACTGTACCTGCCATCTGTGCAGTCTGAACATGCGCTGTGTGTGCCTAGGCCGGCGGGGGGCAGCCAGGTTGAGTTTAAGGTGCCTGGAGGGACTGACCTGTTTGCTGGTGTGTCTCACCCTGTGTTCCATGGTGCTGTAGCGCTGACCCTCAGGGTTTTTGATGTGTCCCTGTTGTCTCCCTATGTGGTCTCAGGTGGTTGAGGCTGAGGCCCATTAACTTCCCCAGTTTAGAGTTTGAGGTTGTAAGTTCACCACTTCTTGAATGAAAGTCAGCTTCAGAGGTTTGCACCATGAGTTTGGGGCTAGGTGATCCCTCACGGGCCAATGCATTGAGATGTTCGGAGCCAGGTCCCCCAGGAAGCTGCCCTGTGCTGGAGTCCACAGTGCGCCTGGCGGGGCCTGAGACACCTTTGCATGCCCTGGGGTGTGAGGTGTGGGGGTGGGAAAGGGGACTGGATTTAGGTCAGGGGTCAGGTCTCCACCTTTTCTGACACTAGCTCTCCACCCACAGAGGGGAGCTGGCCCTGCTGCCCACCGAGTGGTAGGGACACATCAGGCCCTGTGACTGCACATGTGTTGCTTCCAAAACGACTTCCATGTTGGGGCAGCCTCCAGAGTGGAGGCGGCGGCCATGTCCTTCCTGTGCCCCATCTGTGGGCCCTGCTCATTTCTGACCCTGCTCAGGCTTCCGTTATCCATGGTGATGGACCCAGAGTGCGGAGGACGCAGCCTGCGGGTGCCCAAGGCCTGTTGCCGTGTGTGCTGGTTTGTGCGTGTGCAGCGTGTCAGCCGAGCACAGCGGGCTCGGCTCCAGGTGGCGGAACCCAGCGGGGTTATCTCACACATTTGCACTGCTCCACTCCTTGGGGCTTTTTCCTTCCAGCCTCTAAATGGGTACAGGCACATGGGTCCCTTGTATGTGATCGCATCCAGGAAGGCAGAGCCATGGGCTGGGCAGTTTGCAGCGTGTGCGTGAGAGAGCAGCAGCCTCCTGGAGCCGGGGCTCGGGAGCCTGGAGGTGGGCGGGCGCCTGTCTGCCCTGCTGGTGGGTGTCCAGGCCAGAGGGGGCTCTAGAGCTGAGTAGAGGGTGGGGTGGGCATTGACCTCCCTTCCTAACATTCGTTTCTTCTTTCTTCCTGCTGCCATCTGTCAGGGCGCGTCCTTTCTCACAGTCCTTTAGGTAAGACTGACGCTAGACACGCCTGTGCACAGCTTCTCTGCTTCAGGGCAAGTGGGCTCTGTCAGCCTGTGGGAGGCTGTGCTGGACGAAGGTGGCGAGGGGCCGGGAACTGCCCAGTGCGGCCCCTGTCCAGCACAGTGAGGCTTCTCGAGCTGTGGTCCCTGAGGGTCATCACTGGCCATATGGTTGGTGCAGGGACGCCTCCCCAACAAAGACGTGTTCATATCTGGGCACTGTTGCTGGCCTACTCCAACCACCCCATGGAGTGTGTCCGTCTGAGTCCTTTGTGCGTCATTGTTGTCCCTCCCCCAGCCCCCCCTCCCCCCATTTTAGTCCTGTTCACGTGGGAGGGTTGTGCTGACCTGGGGCTGTCGTGCTTTCTGCATCCTGTTTCCCTTGTGTGTTTGTTTAGAAATATCAGAGAGAGGAAGGGAGAGAGAAACATCAATGATGAGAGAGAACCATCCATCAGCTCCTCCTGCATGCCCCCTACTGGGGATCGAGCTTGCAACCTGGGCCTGTGCCTGCTGGGTGGGAATTGAACCACTGGCCTCTTGGTTCATGGGTTGATGCTCAACCACAGAGCCACGCCGACCGGGCGAGTTTCCCTCGTTTATGACTCGAGAGCTCTCTCTGCACCAGCGCAACACTAAGCCCAGTTCAGTGTTTTCGACATCGCTCTAGGTGCCACCAGCACTCTGAAGTCACACACTCTTCTGGACCCCAAATTCAGAACTATCTGTGATTTTAAGTGCTTTTTACTTGAAGCACTTGGACTTGGTTGTTTCTCTTTTCTAAAGTCTTTTAACTTGCTGTGAAGTCAAGTAAGGACATCTGACACCCGTTTGTACCAGAGCTTTTCTGATGCCCCAGGCTGAGGTCTCCATCAGCAGCGTCGCCCCTCAGGGGTGACTTTGGAGGGGGGAGAGGAGCTATGGGTCCAGTTTTCCTCCTGGTGCGGGGCCTTACAAGGCTTCGTGCTCGTTCCGATTGTGCTGGGGGAGGGGTCCTGCCACCCTGTTGCAAAGTTGGGTTTCTCCGTGATCTGGGCTGAGGAACCTGTGAGCGCTGTTCTGTCCTCACCTTAACTCTTGTTTCCTTCTCTGCTTTTGCCATGCTTCCAAGCAGCAGCTACTCCATCCGCCACTCAATAAGTATGCCCGCCATGAGGTAATGTGTGCTCATGCCCGGAGCTCCCAGAGCCGGGTGGGGACGTGGGGAGCAGGCGGCTTCCCAGACCTCTAAACGGATTAGGGTTAGGAAAGACCCCTCCGAGGCCAAAGAACTAGTGGGGGTATGCCAAATGGGGCTCCGTCTGGAACTTTCCAGGACTGCCTGCAGGGTTGGGCTAGGGAAGGGCAGAGAGGCTCCCACACCTATCTGGCATCCAAGAGACTGCAGGTGTTTCCAAGTCTTTTTTTTTTTTTTTTTTTTTCAGGGAAGAAGGAAGAGAGATAGAAACATAAATGATGAGAGAGAATCATGGATCAGCTGCCTCCTGGCACGCTCCCTACTAGGGGTCAAGCCCACAACCTGGGAATGTGCCCTTGACTGGAATCAAGCCAAGGGACCCTTCAGTCTGCAGGCCAACACTCTATCCAATGAGCCAAACCAGCTAGGACTCTCCACGTCTTTTATGGAGACTTTTTATCTGCTTTGTGGCCAGTTTTCTCCTGCTTGCTCTGCAGTGCAGCTTTGGCTCTCAGCGGAGCCCCATCCTTGTTACAAGACTTGCAGCTGCCACACCACAGAGCTGTCTGGGAGTCCTTGATGGGCGGGTGGTCTGCAGAGCCCAGGGGCAGGTGGCTCTGAGCAGTGAGGGGAGCTGGGTCGGACCAGGCCAGCTTGCTTGCTCCTCTAGTCTCCTTACCACCCTCTTGTCCCAGAATGCCTTGGGTTTTTTTTCTGGCTTCGTTCTAAGAGAGATGAGTGTGAAACCCCAGCACAGGTGCATTTACCAGTAGGGTGGAGCAGAAACGGGCCCCATGTTCACCCGCTGCCCAGGGGTCTGCAGCTCACCCATGTCAAGTCTGGGTCTCACCAGCTGGTGGCATTCAGGTCTCTGTCCCTGTGGCTGGCGAGTGTGGCTGACCTGGTTCTGACCTGGTGCCACCTCTGGAGTGACCTTGGCTGGGTTCTCTGCAGGGGGTGCCCCTCCCCTTCTTCTGTCGGGTCATGTCTTTGCAGTGAGACCTCAGGATGTACTCAGGGGTCTTTCTGGAGGACAACCCTAATCCTGAGGCCCTTCAAGTTCAGGATGCAACACAGCTGTGGGCTCCTCATACTGACTTCTGCTCCCTCTCTCTTTGAAGGAATTCTGCCACCTTCAAGTCGCTTGAAGACCGAGTTGGGACCATAAAGGTAACTACCTGGGTCGTTTGCTTCTCTTGATGGGGTGTGACTTGTCAGGTAGACTGACTTAATCGTTGTAGACTCCCAGGCAGTTGGCAGTTGTGGGAGCTAACACTGAGGCCCTGTTCCTTTCATACTTTCCCCAGAACTAACACTGCGGTGTCACAGCCAGGATGTGACATGGGCACCTCAGGGTAGAGAGCGGTCTCTTCCCACAGACCCTTCACGGTGCCTGCCCTCCGCCTGCCCTGCCTGGCATCCACTGATCTCTTCTCTGTTTCTGTAATTTTGTGATCCAAGAAAGTCATAAGTGGGACTGTTGGTGTGCTGCTTTTGGGATGGGTTCCTGTCACTCTGCAGCGTTCTCTGGAGATGCGCCCAGCTTGTTGCCGTGTCAGTGGTGTGTTCTCTCTTGCTAATCCGTGTTCATGGTTTGTGAACTTGTGTAGAGAATTGAACACCATAAGTTCCAGGGGCTGCCTGGTGCTGTGGGCTCTGTCTCAGGTTTTCCCTTCTGGTCTTTTCCCGTCTGTAGTCTAAGGTGGTGGGTGGCAGAGAGAATGGCAGTGACAGCTTTCCCTCCCCGACTGAGAGTGGCGACAAGCCCCTGCCCGATCACGCGCCCTTCTAAGCCTGAAGCAGCTTTGCCGGCCGCGGAGCCAGTGCAGGCACGCCCTCCTCACCACGACAGCCACTGCGCAAGGGAGCACCAGCAGCTGCGGGAGGACATGGAGCGGCTTTGAGGACAGTCATGCCATCACATGTAGACGTGGCCCCTGCACACGCATGACTTAGAGAACAGTCTTGTGTACAGATGCTTCACACTAAAGTCGTAGATGCAACAATCACTGTGCCATCCTTCCTGGGGCCAGGAAGTGGACGGGGCGGGGGGACAGAGCCACATTCCCTTTGGCAATCTTGTTCATCAGAATGTTGAAACCATGGGAAGAGACAGGTGTAAAGTAAGTGGTATTTCTAAACTCCTCCTTCCCTGTGCCACGGAAGGGAGCATCTTCCAGAAGCCCCATCTGACCCGCAGTTTTTATTTCAAAATGCTAACCAAGAAAACTGTCCATTTCCTAGATCCTCCAAAAAGAAACTATCAGCTGCCTCATTCTTACACTAATGATCTAGCTTTAGCAAAAGCAAATTCTTTATTTTTTAAATGCAGTGGATTTTTCAAAATTTAATATTAAGCAAAACAGCTTTAGCCTCATCGTTACAAGATTATTTGTTAGGACTCGAGCTAATATACAAGCCTTATATCACCTTATGCTTATTTGTTTATAATGTTTTAATATACACTAGTGAGAGTTCTTTAGTGGGTTCTGACACTGCACAGAATTCTGCATCTACCCGAGGGGCCGGATGCCTGCGCCAGAGGTGTGTTTCGTTTCAGCAGCGTCCTCCCAGTGATGGAACTCGCTCTTCTCTCCTCAACAACTCTGGCAGCTCCTGCTGGCCAGCAGGCTCCTGGGCCTCAGGGGGTGGGGATAGGAGTGCTGCCACACTGCCCTCATGGGCCAGGCCTGACCAGGCGCAGCTGGCACGTCATTGTCAGTGGCTCCAACTGTGTTTGCTGTTCACGTGGCCAGGACACTCAAGAAGTGCATGGACCCTGCAGGGCGGGGCTGGGCGGGGTGGGTCAGCTGGACCTCTGCTGTTGCCTTTTCTTTTTTTTAAATATATTTTACTGATTTTTTACAGAGAGGAAGGGAGAGGGATAGAGAATTAGAAACATCGATGAGAGAGAAACATCGATCAGCTGCCTCCTGCACACCCCCCACTGGGGATGCGCCCGCAACCAAGGTACATGCCCCTGACCGGAATCGAACCCGGGACTCCTCAGTCCGCAGGCCGACGCTCTATCCACTGAGCCAAACCGGCCAGGGCTCTGCTGTTGCCTTTTCTCAGGAGCTACCAGCTACCTTTCCCATTTTGAAGCTGCCACACCCCAGCAGCCTCACCCAGGGCCCCAGGTGTCGGGTGTGTCTGGAGGGGCAGCTTGTGCCTTCCTGGTTCTTAGTGGCCCAGGCCTGGCCTGCCTGCATGTGATGGGTGCACCCCCTGGGGAGAAGCCAGCAGCTCAGTGACCGTTTTGGTAGACTGTGCTCTGGGACCTGAGTGTCTGCTGGTCACCTCAGACACTGGGGGACTGTGGTCCACCTAGTGTTCTTTCTTCATCAGAATCTCAGACTCCTGGTAAGAGGCAGGAGGCAGGGCTACAACTGATTTGTCTTTTCCATAAAGTAAATAACGGGTAATTTGCCAATAAAGCATTCCTTCAGGGGGAAATGAACTTTAACTTGTGTGGTATGTCTTATTTCATACAGAAAGGTGATGAAAGAGTGGCACAGGAACTAATAGGCATTCCTGTTGTCATGGGCCTGCACCCTAGGGGGCGGGCAGGGAGGAAGTAGGTGATCTCAGATACAAATTGCAAACCTTCTGTGCTATGAAGAAAACTGAGCGCCTGAGAACATAAAGAATAAACCTGTGGGTTCTCTGGGGAAGGGGCGTGGAGGCTGAGGGGGAACTAGCCACGTTACACATTGGGTCCGGACTGAGCTGCAGGAGTTGAACAAGCAGCCAGGATTCGCTCCGTGGAAGGAGGTGGCCTGAGAGGAGTGCTGCTTGGGGTCCCCAAGCACGCAGCTGCAGTTATCAGCTGGTTCTGAGCAAGGCAGCCACACGCATCCCTTGGGCAGGTGTGGGGGGCTCACTGAGGAAGATCGGGCTGTTGACCTATCCTTGCAACCCCACTCTAGAGCTGGAACCACATGACAGGTACATGACAAAGTCCAAAGAGGAGCTGAGGGCACAGCAATGTCTGGTTAGCAAACAGCTGCCAAGGCAGACCTGCTTCTAATGGGGACTCAAGTGACATGAAATGGTGACAAGGCATGCTCAGAAACCTGCCTGTTCCCTTGCCCATTTCCCACCCAGCCTCTGGGACTATTATTACTTATTTGTCCAGTGTTTCTTTGTGTAAAAACAATGTATTCTCATTCCCTTCCCCTTCTTGCTCCAAAGATGCCACACACAGTGCCCTTACTGCTATGCCCTAAGTGCCAGCTGCACCTACCTCCAAGGCCCATGTGTGAGAGTCTCCATTCCTTGCTGCCCGCTGCTTTGCCTGTGCCCATTCCTGATGTCTTGGGTGTTCACAGTAGGGAACTCCTTTACTGGAAGCATTAGACTTTTGGGGTCAGAGAGCCAGGCTTGCCCCAGATATAACAGTAGGAAAAGTTGGTGGCTTCCAATTATCTAACAATCCCCAGCATGACAGTCCATTACAACAGCTGGTACCGAGGGCAGAGAGCACATGGCTGCCAGCAGTCAATATTCATTTATGTTGGAAGTGGGTTTCACATAGTTTTTGTTAAATATTTTAATGGCCTGGAGCCCTGGCTGGTGTTGTTCAGTGGTTAGATCGTTGGCCTGTTCGCCCAAGGATTTCGGGTTTAATTCCCAGTCAAGGACACAGGCTCAATCCCTGCCCCGGTTGGGGTGGTGCGGGAGGCAACTAATCGATGTGTCTCACATCAATGTTTCTCACCCTCCCTCCCTTCCAGCCACTCTAAAATCAATGGAAAAATATCCTAGGGTTGAGGAATAACAAAAATAAATAAAATAAAAAACGGGGGAGGGGCGGGGGGGGAATGACCTGGGCGTTAAAGTCTGCTTTTGTTGGGTGCAAGGGTGAATTTCACGCGGACCCAGTCCTAAAGCTGCACTTCATTTGTTGGGGAAGACAGGGCGTTTTCCTAGATGACTGACTTGTGTGAGATGAGCTTTGAGAGTTTGGAGGCAGAAGTGGTGAGGTGGGTGGAGCCAAGGGCACCACTGGGGCTGGTCTTAAAGGGTAGCAAAACCTGGAGTGAGACAAATGGGGTCAGACTCACCCAATTAAAAGGCATGTGAGCCCTGACTGGTTTGGCTCAGTGGACTCAAGGTCCCGGGTTCGATTCTGGTCAAGAGCATATACCTTGGTTGCGGGCACATCCCCAGTGGGGAGTGTGCGGGAGGCAGCTGATCGATGTTTCTCTCTTATCGATGTTTCTAACTCTCTATCCCTCTCCCTCTCTGTAAAAAAATCAATAAAATATATTTAAAAAAATAAATAAATAAAATAAAAGGCATGTGAAGCACAGGGTCTGACTGTAGCTGCTGTCCACATTTGACAGGTTATCCTTCCTGAACAGGTTGACTTGTTTGTTTAGAGAAAATGCTTAAAAAAATTTTTTTTTAAATTGATTTTAGAACCCGGCCAGTGTGGCTAAATGGTTGAGCGTCCACCTATGACCCAGGAGGTCACAGTTCAATTCCTGGAGAGGGCACATGCCCCTGTTGTGGGCCCCATCCCCAGTGGGGGGTGTGCAGGAGGCAGCTGATCAATGATTCTCATCATTGATGTTTTTCTCCCTCTTCCTTTCTCTCTTTCTAAAAATGAATAAAAACATATTTTTAAAAATTGATTTTAGAGAAAGAAACATGGCATTTTTGTTGCAGTTACTTATGCATGAATTGGTTGATTCCCATATGTGCCCCGACCAGGGATCAAACCCGCAACCTTGGCATATCAGGACAACATTGTAACCAACTGAGCTACCGGGCCAGAGCTGGCTTGTTGGTTTATAAACATATTTGTAATGTACTTTTATATATCATGCATCTTGCTCATTTTACTTTCAGGAAGCATCACAAGAATTGTCTGTTATGTAGCCTTTTCTCTATTTTTAATCACTATATTATTTCATTTCACTGTATGTGTAGGCAGGTTTTCATTTTCACTGTTCTATATAACATCCTGGTGTGTGTTACAGGACCACTCGCACCTGCTGAGCAGGGAGGAAGGTGAGTTCTGCCCTTTCGGGGCGTCGTTTGTGGGTGGTTCATGGACGATGGCAAGGGCACTTCGATGGCTGAGCAGGAAGGAAGGAAGTGCCATCTCTTCGCCCCAAGAATGAGCAAACGTCAGTCACAAGAGGCTGGGTGGAGGGGTGTCGGCCTGAGGCTCATTTCATACCAATTGTCTCCCGTTCCTTGACAAGAACAATGACGGTTCTCTCTTATGTAAACCGCTGAGCAAACTCAGCTGCAAGACCAGGGCCCGCCCCCCTGCGCGGCTCCCCGCACCACCTGCCGGCCCACC